TGTGTGTGTGTGTGTGTGTGTGTGTGTGTGTGTGTGTGTGTGTGTGTGTGTGTTGGGGCAAGTGGAGGGGACAGTGTGGTGGAAGGTGTCAGGAAGGCTAGACTCCTGTTCGGGGACACCTGAGGATAGGCTGGGTGGCCTTAGGGAAGTCAATGAACCTATTAGCCTCAGTTTCCCCATCTCCTGCAATGGGTAAAATGATATCCTACCAGAGTTTTTGCAAGAATGGAATATCCTCCATGTCAAGCTGCTAACACAGGACCTCGTGTGCTCAAATTAACTGTGATCATAAAAACATAGTTTGGTTAAGGGTCCCAGGTGGGCTGGAATCTTTTGCTAGCCTGAGCTGCCCACTGGTGGCTGGAGAACACTACCTCCTTTACTGGTGCACATTTCAAATTCACTCAAATCAAGGAAGTGTACCCATTTTAAAGACAAAACTGAAGCACAGGGAAGAAGAGGGTGACCTTCCTAAGGACATAGATCAATTTATTGAGCTCCTTGTAATGATAATCATCATCAGAGCCAACAGTAAGTAGCACTGTTGTGTCAAGCAGGGCCTTGGGCACTTTCGTAAATGAGAAACTGGCGTCAATGCTGGGCAGATGCTGCCGTGAGCCTAGACACTGGTGTGGCAAAGGTATGGCGAGGAGAGTATGTGGATTTCAGGTATTCCCTTTCTCCAGTTCCTCTGGGCACAACACTAGGGGGCAGACTGCCCACTCATCCCTTGGCTCCCTGGAGTGGAGACAAGTGTTAGCCCAGCCCGGGTTTTCTGGCTGAGGGAGCCAAAGACTCCGAGAGGTGAAGTGTCCCACCCAAGTCCACACAGCCAGTAGGCAATGGAGGCTGGATTCGACCTCAGATGGCCTGGCTCCTCCCACACTGACCCAGGACCTTCACAGTGCTCCCCACTCAGCCCAGGCCTGGTGCCGGCACTTCTACATGCCATGCTCCACCCAGGATATCCTCTTGTGAGTCCACCCAGACGTGCAAAAGTCTCAGGCCCAGCTCTGCCTTTTGGGGTCACAGGCAGCTTTCCGATCCATCGAGTTATCGGCCAAGCACCAACAGACTGCTAGGCCTCTCGCCCCTTTGTGCCGAGGAAACAAAGGCATAGAGATGTTTAGCAGCTGCATCCCAAGACCCTGGCGAGTCAACGGCAGGGCAGTGATGCACTTGAGGGCATTTCTCCGTGTCTCCGCAAGGGTGTGATCACCTCAGCCTAAGCCCAGCAGCTCGCCCTGTAGGGTCGCAGTCTCCTAAGTATCTCCACGGCCTGACCTGCGAATCCAGTGAGGAAGAAGGAGCCACATGACTTCCATTGTGCAGGTTTCCACCTGCAAAACTGAGGTGGGGGACCCAAAGCAGAGTCGGGTTGGGACTCTGATGGGGAGTCCCTGTGCTCCGTACAGACACCCATGCCGCCCCGTCCGGACTCGGAGGGACCTGGTCAGCCCAGTCTGCCGGGACCACGCCGCGGCCAGGCCAGCCACTCAGGTTCCAGTGGCCCGCGAGAGCACCCTCGCTGACAAAGGCCAAGGCCGCAGGGGCCATCCCCGTGCGACCCTGTAGGGCCCGGGGGCGGGGAGAGGCGGGCCGGCGGACTGCGCCGAGGTGCGCCTATTGGCTGGAGCTGACGCCCATCCGGGCCCCGAGGCCCGACAATTGGCCGCGGGGGGCGGAGTTCGCGGAGCCCCAATGAATGGGGGAGCCGGAAGCAGGAAGTGAGTTTGCGATCCGAGCAGCTGCTGCAGGTGAGGCGCGGCGCCCGGGTTTTGGGGTCACGGTGCGTCATCCTCGGGGGACAGGGCGAGTCTGGACCGAACGCAAGATCATTCTTTTTCTGCCTTCCATCCAGTACCCCTTCCACATTCATTGTGGCCCCTATGCCAAGGAACCCTCCGGGCAGCAAAGAGTTACCCCGGGGCGGGGGCGGGAGGTGGGGTTAGTGCTATTGGGGCGGAGCATCCGGAGTGGTGGGGGAGGCTGGACACCCATTCCCGGTAAGGGGGGGGGGGGGTGCGGTGTGGAAAATGCACTGGGTTGGGAGGTCCCGGGTCCCAACGGGGCTGTGAGAATTCGGTAAGTTTCGTGGCCTCTCTAAGCCTCAGTCTCTCTGTCTGTAAAATGAGTTTTCTTCCAGCTCCGAACTTCTGCGGCTCCGAGGCTCCCCTGGCCGAGCACGGGGGAGAGGGTAGGAGGATGGAGGGCCAAGGAAAAGGCAGTTAGAAGGATGAGAATGAGACAGATTGCACACTGTTCTGGTGTTGGCGTTATTATCACCCCCATTTTACAGAGGTGAAAACGGAGGCACGGAAAAGTGAAAACTGACTTGATTTTAGAAGTCTAGAGCTGAACCAAGTTTGGAACCTGGGTCTTCCAGCTGATAGCATGGAACTCTGTCCTTTTGAACACAGTGGTGGGTGGAATTGAAGAATTCTGAATTCACAATTCAGGAGAATTCTGAAGAGTTTAGGAAGTCAGAGAAGGAGGAGGGGAGGCTGAGTGCCGCCTCCCCCACCCCTGCTGGGAGTCTAGAGATGCAGGTCTCTGCTTCTGATCTCTCCCTTGTGTTATTACTTGTGTTATTAGGCAAAGCTCCTAGCCTCTCTGGGCCTCAGTTTCCCCATCTGTAATACTGGTAGTTGAATTCATTCTTTAAGGTTTAGGGGCCCCAGGCCAAATGTGACCCACCAATGTATTTTGTAATATCCTTGGGTGAGTCACCTAACCTCTGAGCCTCAGTTAACATAGCTGGTGAATGGGTTTGGGGGAGGATTAAATGAGAGCATGAGAGTGCAGAGCTAGGTGTGTGGTAAATGATGGCTGTGATGATGGTGATGGTTCTCAGCAGGGCCCATGGCGGACGCCCAGTACATCCTGCCCAATGACATCGGTGTGTCTAGCCTGGACTGCCGCGAGGCCTTCCGCCTGCTGTCACCCACAGAGCGCCTGTATGCCCACCATCTGTCACGGGCCGCCTGGTACGGAGGCCTGGCTGTGCTGCTGCAGACCTCCCCTGAGGCCCCCTACATCTATGCCCTGCTCAGCCGCCTCTTCCGTGCCCAGGACCCAGACCAGCTGCGCCAGCATGCCCTGGCTGAGGGCCTTACCGAGGAGGAGTATCAGGTCAGTTCTTTTAGGTCATCCTGCATTTCCTGAGGGGCTTCTGGGTATGAGGGACCACAAGCAGGGGTACAAAGGTCTTTCTCTTTAGATTAGACCAAAGGTTGCATATACAGGAACCACCTCTCCTAGAGTCTCAGTCTTATCTGTAAAACATGCACGAGGGTAGTCTGTACCTTCTAGGGCTGCAGTGACCTGACTCCAAGATAAATAGTGGCTGCTGTGATTTAACAGGGGCTGTGAGTAAAGGCAACAGCTGTGGAGATTCAGAGGCAGTAGAGGAATGAGTCCAGGGTAGGAATCGGGAGGTCTGAGTTCTGGACCAGATCTTCCTCCACCATGTTGTGCGTTCCCGCCTGTCCTCTGGTTTTTGTTTGTTCGTGGGTCTGTTGGCCAAATATGTGAATACATTTGTAGTGCATTGTTGCAATGCAGAAGGACACAAAATACAAAGATCACTCATTGGATGGTGCGGTGTGCAGCCTTTTAATTCCTCTGTCTGTGTATTGCATACCTACATGTGTACATGCACATGTGTATCAGTTCCTCATTTTGTCCTTTACATAAATGAGATCATGCCATGTGTGAGTAGGATCTATTTCTAGAAGTCGCATTGCTGGGTCAAAGGCTCTGTACGTTTATAATCGATTGATGTTGTTAAATCATCTTCTACAAAGGTTTCACCCAGCATGTATGAGAATGTGGCCTGTTTTTCTATATGTAAAATAAAGGGATTGGATTGCTTCTCTCTGAGCTGAGGCCCAGGCTGTTTCTTCTACCTTGTTTTAACTTCTAGTAATCAGCATCCCATCTCTAGGCCTTGATTTATTCATGAAAAGAGTTAACAGCGAGACAAGTGCTGGGAAATAGAAAATTGCTGCATGTGCTACTGTTTCCAGTGGGATTATTTTTGTTTGCAAAGAGCAGAAAGCCACCTCAAATTGGCTTCAGTGAAAATGAAATTCATGACTTCCAGTTTCCAGTCCAGCATGTGAGGAACTTAAAAGTCACCGATCTGTCCTAACAAGTAAAAGGCAGGACAAACCAGAAAATCGACAGCTTTTCTTACGTCCTTAAAAGAAATGAGGCCACAGGGCTGCCGCTCCCAAATTGGAGAGACAGACAGGTGGGTACAGAGGATCACAACTTAACAGCAGAAATGCATGAGCAGAAGCCTTCCCCACAACCAGCACTAGGGTAGGAAAACCTAACCTGTAACTGAAAAACTGCTGGAGGCTCCAGTGTGGACAGCTCTGAGAGTTAAAAACTCCAGGGGAACCCAGTCACAGGAGAGGCCCCCACACATTTGGGAGTTTTACCTCCAGGATCTTGACCGGGTCCTCACAATGAGTTTCAGAGAAAAAGCCCCTTGTGCTTCTGACAGGGGTAAGGGAAAGGGAACTGCTTGTGAAGAATGCCAGAACATTCTGTTCTTAACAGTTTGCTCTCAGGAGAAACTATTTCACCAGAACCTAACCTTCTAGGGCTTTATCAGAACCTAACTGACCTGGGCAGAGGAAAATATCCCACTCCAGACAGTTCTAAATCATCCTGTCCCACCTAAGGGTGGGTGGGGACACAGGACCGAGAAGCCCATGTGGAGTTCACAGTCCAGAGGTAAAGGCTCACTAACAGACTAATGAGACCTAATCATGGGACCGTAGAATACTTCTGGGACTCCCACACCTGGCTATCACATTATGAAAGACCTATTTACAGCAGTTCTTTTTATGCAGTACATCATGTCTGGCTATCAAGAAAAAAATAACAGAACATAATAAAAAAGCAAAGAACGCAGTGTGGAGAGACAGAGAAAGCATCAGAACCAGATTCAGATATAGCAGGTATGGTGGACTGATAAGGAATTGAAACAGCTATGATTAATAGCCCTATGCTTAGGGCTAAGGGCCCTAATGGATAAAGTAGACCACATGCAAAAACAGATGGACAGAGAGATGGAAATCCTAAGAAAGAACCAAAAGTGCTAGAAGTTTAAAAACACAGAAATGAAGAATGTCTTTGCTGGCCTTATTAGTAGACTTGACCCAGCTGAGGAGGGACTCGCTGAGCTTGAGTATATCCCAATGGAAACCTTCAAAACTGACAAGCAAAGAGAAAAAAAAGACTGAAAAAAGCAGCACAGAGTATCTGAGAACCGTAGAGCAACTGTAGGAACCGTATATGTAATGGGAATACCAGAAGAGGAAGAAAAACAGAAGAAATATCTGAAACAATTATGACCAAGAATTTCCTCACATTAATGTCAGATACTAAACCACAGATCCACAAAGCTCAGTGAACACTAAGCAGAATATTAAATGTCATAAAAAACTACACTTAGGCATATTTTCAAAGTACAGAAAATCAAAGAAAAAGTCCTGGAAGAAGCTGGAGGAAAAGTAGACCTTAGCTTTAGAGGAGCAAAGATAAGAATTGCATCCAATTTCTCAGAAACCACATGGACAAGAAGAAAGTGGGTTGGATTATTTGAAGTGTGGAGAGAAAAAGCCACCAACCTAGGATTCTGTACCTCGTGAAATTATCCTTCAGTAATGAAAGAAGGGGCGCCTGGGTGGCTCAGTCGGTTGAATGTCCGACTCTTGATTTTGGCCCAGGGCATGATCTCGTAGTTCGTGAGATCGGGCCCCACGTCGGGTTCCGTGTGCTGACAGCACAGAACATGCTTGGGATTCTCTCTCTCCTTCTCTTTCTGCTCCTCCTCCTCTTTTGCCACTCTCTCTCTCTCTTTCTCAAAATAAATAAATAAACTTCAAAAAAAAAAGTGAAGGAAAAACAGACTTTCTCAAACACAAATTGAGGTAATGTATTGCCAGTAGACCTGCTTTGCAAGAGATGTCAAAAGTTCTTCAGGGAAAAGAAAAGAGATACAGGTCCAAAACTCAAATCTGCATTAAGAAAGCGAGTGCATTAAAGGAGTAAGTGAAGGTAAAATAAAACACTTAAAAATTTTTTAAAAATATTTATTTTAGATATTCTCTACACCCAACGTAGGGCTTGAACTCACAGTTCCGAGATCAAGAGTTACATGCTCTTCTGACTGATAGCTGCCTCTATTTTTGTTGATTCTTAATTGACCTAAGAGATAGCCATTTGTTCAAAATAATGATAGCCACAGTGTATTCAATTATATGTGCTTATGTTTATCTTATTCTTATGCATATTTATACATACATATATTTCTGTCTCCTTGTATGTAGGTGCCATAAAGGACAGCAATGATACATGGGAAAGGAGACAGGAATTAAAATTATTTTGTTATCATAGGGTACTCACTATCCATGAAGCAGTATAGTGTTCTATGAAAGTGGGCTTGGGTTAGTTATAAATGTATATTGCAAAATTTCGGGCAGTCACTAAAAAGTGAAAAGGTATAACTAATGAGCTAAGAAGAGAGAGAAAATAGACTCATGTGAAAAAGTCTCAGTTACTACTAAAAAGGCAGAAAAATAATGGAAGACAAAAATAGGAATAAACAAGGACAACATATCGAAAACAGTAACAAATATGGTAGATATTAGTCCAACCGTATCAATAATCCCTTTGAATGTCAATGGTCTAATTGTACCAATTAAAAGACAGAGATTGTCAGAATGGATGAAAAAACAAGGCCCAAATGTGTGTTGTCTACAAGAACACACTTAAATCTAAAGATACATATAAATTAAAAGTAAATGGATGGAGAAAGATATACCATACCAACATTAATCAAAAGAAAGTGGGAGCAGCAATATTAATGTTGTGAACTTCAGAGTCTGAAGAGTTACCAGGGATAAAGAGGGCATTGCATAATGATAAAAGAGTCACTTCTACAAGAAGACAATGGTCTTTAATGTGTATGTGTCTAACAGAGCATCAAAATACTTGAGACAAAAACTGATAGAACTGCGAGGAGAATTAGATGAATCCAGTACTATAGTTGGAGACTTTAATACTCTTGCATCAGAAATAGACAGATCTAGGGGCACCTGGGTGCCCTCTCAGTCAGCTGAGAGTCCAATTCTTGATTTTGGCTCAAGTCTTGATCCCAGGGTTGTGAGATCGAGCCCTGTGTCAGGCTGCACACTCAGTGTGGAGAGGTTCTCTCTCTCCTGCTCCTCTTCCCGGCTTGTGTGTTCTCTCAAATAAAAATTTTAAACCTTTATTAAAAATAAATAGGGGGCTCCTGGATGGCTTAGTCGGTTAAGTGTCTGACTTTAGAGCAGAAATCAATAAAATTGAAAACAGGAAATTAGTAGAGAAAATTAATGAAACCACAAGGTAGTTCTTTGAAAAGATCAGCAAAACATATTTTAGTCTATTTGGACTGCTACAACAAAATACCACTGAGTGGCTTATAAACAAGTTTATTTTTCAGAGTTCTGGAGGCTGAATGTCCAAATTCAGGGCACCAGCACAGTCAAGTTCTGGTGAAAACCCTCTTCAAGTTTGCACAATACTGACTTCCCACTGTGTCCTATCATGGTGGAATGGGTGAACTAGCTTTCTGGTGTCTCTTATAAGGGCACTAATCCCAGTGGTGAGGGCTCTTGCCTTCATGACCTAACTGCCTCCCAAAGGCCCCATATTCTAATCCCATCACTTTGGGGGTTAGAGTTCAACATATGAATTGGATGGGAGACACCAACATTCAGACCATAATGAGTAAAAAGTCTCTAGCCAGTCTAAGGGAAAAAGAGAGAAGTCATAAACTATTAATATCAGAAATGAAAGATGGGACATCACTATAGATCCCATGGACATTAGAGAAATTCAATCAATAATTAATAACCTTTCCAAACAGAAAATACCAGGTTGACATGGGTTCACTGGTGAATTATACCAAACATTTAGGGATAACATTATACCAGTTCCCTATAATCTCTTTCAAAAGAGAGAGAGACAGGGAATCCTTCCTAATTAATTCTATGAAGCCAACATCATCCTAATACCCAAACCAGACAAAGACATTAAAAGAAAACTACAGACAAATATCTCTCATTTACATAGATGCAAAAATCCTCAACAAAATATTGGCAAATCAAATCCAACAATGTATAAAAAATTATATACCATGGCCAAGTAGGATTTATCCTGGGAGTGCAAATCTGGCTCAGTATTTGAAAGTAAATAATGCATCACATCAACAAGCTGAAGAAGAAAACCACACAACCGTATCAATAGATGCAGAAAAAGCATTTGACAAAATCTGGCACGATTCATCATAAAAGCTAAGTAAACTAGGAATAGAGAAGAGCCTCCTCATCTTGATAAAGTTAAAGCCTATCTGCAAAAGCCCTACAGCTAACATCATATTTAAGGGTGAAAAACTCGAGTTTTCTCACTAAGATCAGGAACAAGGCATGGAAGTCCCCTCACCACTGCTTTTCAACATTGTTCCAGAAGTCCTAGCTAATGCAATAAGGCAAGAGAACAGGAAATAAAAAGTATGCAGATTGAGACGGAAGACACAAAACTGTTTTTGTTCACAGAAAACATGATCATCTACATAATCCAAAATAATTGACAAAAAACACCTCCTAGAACTCATAAGCAATTAAAGCAACGTTGCAGGATATAAAGTTAATATACAAAAGTCTATTGCTTTCAATACAGCAGCAATGAACAAAATTTGACCTTAAAAACATAATACTATTTACAGTAGCACACAAGAAAGTGAAATACATAAGTTAAAAATACAACAATAGGGGCGCCTGGGTGGCGCAGTCGGTTGAGCGTCCGACTTCAGCCAGGTCACGATCTCGCGGTCTGTGAGTTCGAGCCCCGCGTCAGGCTCTGGGCTGATGGCTCGGAGCCTGGAGCCTGTTTCCGATTCTGTGTCTCCCTCTCTCTCTGCCCCTCCCCCGTTCATGCTCTGTCTCTCTCTGTTCCCCCCCAAAAATAAATAAACGTTGAAAAAAAAATTAAAAAAAAATACAACAATGTACAAGGCCTATAGGTGGAAAACTACAAACCTGATGAAAGATATCAAAGAACTAAATAAATGGAGAGATGTTCCATGTTCATGAACAGGAAGATTCAGCATTGTCAAGACACCAGTTGATGCACCTGGGTGGCTCAGTCAGTTAAGCGTCCAACTCTTGATTTCAGCTCAGGTCATGATCTCATGGTTCGTGAGATCGAGCCCTGAGTCAGGCTCTGCACTGACAGAGCAGAGCCTGCTTGGGATTTTCTCTCTCCCTCTTTCTCTGCCCCTCCCCAACTCATGTGCTCCCTCTGTCTCTTTCCCAAAATAAATAAACATAAAAATAAAAAGATGTCAGTTCTTCCCAACTTTATAGATTCAGTGCAACCCAAATAAAAATCCCAGCAAGTGATTTTATTTTCAACACAATACTGAGGAAAGAGGGTAAAGACCCAGAATAGCCAACACAGTAGTGAAAAAGAACAAAGTTAGAGGACCAGTACCACTCAACTTCAAGACTTACTATAAAGCTACAGTAATCAAGACAGTGTGGTGTTGGCGAAAGGACAAATAGATCAACAGAATAGAATAAAGAGCCAAGAAATGGACCCCGATAATTATAGTCAACTGATCTTTGACAAAGGAGCAAAGGCAACACAATGGGGTAAAAATAGTCTGAAATTTTCAGCAAATAGTTCTGAAACATCTACATGCAAAATAAAAGGGGGGCACCTGGGTGGCTCAGTCGGTTAAGCCACCAGCTCTTGGTTTCAGCTTGGATCATGATCTCATGGTTTGTGGGTTTTAGCCCCATGTCAGGCTCTGTGCTGATGGCACAGAACCTGCTTGGTATTCTCTGTCCCTCTCTCTGTGCCCCTCCCCTGTGTGCATGTATGCACAAGCACTTTCTCTCTCTCTCAAAATAAATAAGCCTTAAAACAAACAAACAAAAAAAGAAACATAGACGAAAGAAAAAAGAAAAGAAAAAGAATGTAGACGAGATGTGGACCTTACATCTTTAACAAAAGTTAATGCAAAGTGGGTCACAAACTTAAATGCAAAACTAAAAAACTCCCAGAAGAGAACAGAAAATCTAGATGACCTTGGGTAGGGAAATGACTTTTTAGGTACAATGTCAAGTATTATCTGTAAAGAAATAATTGATAAGTGGAGCTTCAGTATAATTAAAAATTTCTGCTTTGTCAAAGACACTGTCAAGCAAATGGAAAGTCAAGCCACAGACTGGGAAAAAACAGTTGCAAGAGATATAGGATATAGGATAAAGGACCGTTAGCCAGAATATATAAAGAACTCTTAAAACTCAACAATAAGAGGGGCGCCTGGGTATCTCAGTCAATTAAGCACCCAACTTCGGCTCAGGTTATGGTCTCAGGGTTCGTGGGTTCAAGCCCCATGTCGGACTCTGTGCTGACAGCATGGAGCCTGCTTGGGATTCTCTCTCTCCCTCTCCCTCTGCCCCTCCTCTACTTGCTCTCTAAGTAAACAAACAAACAAACTTAAAAAAGCCAATCTGAAAAGCCTACATGCATTTGATTTCAACTATATGATATTCTGGACATGGAGAGAGTAAAAATCAGTGGTTGCCAGGCAGTGAGGGGAGGGATATTTAGGGCAATGAAACTATTCTATAGTACAGAGTAATCTACATAATAGTAGATATATGTCAAATATATGTCTAAACCCATAGAGTGCACAAGGCCAAGAGTGAATCCTAATGTAGACTATGGTCTTTGGGTGATGATGTGTCCATGTAGGTTCACCAGTTGTAACAAATATACCACTCTAGTGGAAGACGTTGATAACAGGGAAGGCTGTTCATGTGTGGGGGCAGACGGTACATAGGGAATCTGTATACTTTCTGCTCAGTTTTGCCGTGAACCTAAAATGCTCTAAAAAATAAGATATTTTTAAAAAGAGATAGTGTATTCACTGCAGCAGCACATATACTAAGATTGGGACGATGCAGAGAAGATTAGCATGGCCCCTGCACAAGGATGACACACAAATTCATGAAGCATTCCAATTTTTTTTTAATTTTTTTTTTCAACGTTTATTTATTTTTTGGGGGGGACAGAGAGAGACAGAGCATGAACGGGGGAGGGGCAGAGAGAGAGGGAGACACAGAATCGGAAACAGGCTCCAGGCTCTGAGCCATCAGCCCAGAGCCTGACGCGGGGCTCGAACTCACAGACCGCGAGATCGTGACCTGGCTGAAGTCGGACGCTTAACCGACTGCGCCACCCAGGCGCCCCGAAGCATTCCAATTTTTTAAAATTAAGTAAATAAATAATAAAAAAAAGAGAGTTATTGGTTCACGCAACTGAAAAGTCCAGGGCTAGGGCAGGCTTCAGGCATGGCTAGATTCAGGGGCTCAGTGATGCCATTGTGATGCAATCTTCATCTCTCAGCTTTGCTTTCTTTCCTCCAGTAGTGGAGCTCCAGGGGCTCCAGACTTGATCCCTAGTATAAAAATAGAGGCTCTTTACCACTTGAAAATTGCCCAGGTAGGGCTTTTACGGTCTAGCCTGAGCCTATGCCTACCCCCAGAGTTAGGGAAGGGAGAGTCCCTCCCTTCTCAAGAGGAAGACTGAGGTCTTGTTGCCAGAGAAAGGGAGACCTAAGTTTTGGGCCTGTGAAAGCCATAGGGCAGATGATCATAGCCTCTCCAGCTGTAACATTTGATGTTTCCAATGACAGCTTCCTGGCAGGTTGGAGGCAGAGGACAGGCTTTCTGCAGAGGGAGGCAGTGTGGTTTTTTTGTTTATTTTTTTATTAATTTTTTTGTTTATATTAGAGACAGAGCGTTAATGGGGAAGGACAGAGAGTGGTAGACACAGAATCTGAAGCAGGCTCCAGGCTCTGAGCTGTCAGCACAGAGCCTGATGTGGGGCTCAAACCCACGAATCATGAGATCGTGACCTGAGCTGAAGTCAGACGCTCAACTGACTGAGCCGCCCAGGCTTCCTGGAAGGAGCCAGTGTTTAAACTGGGCTTTTGAGGTTAGGTGAGATGGCTGCAGGTAGCTGAGAAGGTGCTGGGCAGGGTGGGAACAAAGGTGGATGTGTTTGGGGGCTGCCGAAAAGACTGGTTTGGCTGGACAATGGGTGTGTGAAGACTGGTCTGTGAAAGTATTTTGCGGCCAGACTGGGTCCTGCTGGGATCTGGATCCTGCCCCCAGATTTCCCAGCCTCGCCTATACTGGTTCCTCTGGGTGTTAACATCTCAGGAGGGAACCTCCCTGGGGTGGGGGAGGCTGTGTTTCCAGGTCTCTGATGCCCACCTTCCCCTAGGCGTTCCTGGTCTATGCTGCAGGTATCTACTCCAACATGGGCAACTACAAGTCCTTTGGCGACACCAAGTTTGTTCCCAACCTGCCCAAGGTGAGTTGAGGGAAGACTGGAGAAGGTGAGGAATTGGGGGCCAGTGGGATGGTAGTGGGAGCCTACGCGGAGCCTTGACCATGTCCCTGCCATGCTGCATGACTCTGGGTAAGCCAGCCAGCCTTGCTGGGCATTGTAGCCTCCTCACATATAAGGGGAAAGCAGCGTTTCTTCCTGACCGTGCTCACCTGAGCGTCACACGGGGGAAGGATGTGGAAATGTTCTGTGAACTGTGAAGTGCTTGTAAAATTCGGGCCTGGTCATCGCTGAGGATGGTAGAGAGGCCTGGGCACGGGCGTCCCTCACTGGCACTGTGGAGACCAAGCACATCCGGCAGATGCAGTTCTTACACCAGGGCTCTGAGCTCTAACTGCATACATAAATTGCGTGGCCGTCTTGTTGAAACGCAGCTTCTGGCTGAACAGGTCTGCAGCGGGGCCTGAGCATCGACATTTCTCCAGCAACACCAACACCGCTGGTCCATCCACCGCACTTTGAGCTGGAAGGTCTTAGGCTGCGGGGTGGGTGTGGAGGGTCCAGAAGACAGCTTTGGGTGGTGTGGCCGAGCCAATGGCCTCTCCTCTCCTGCAGGAGAAGCTGGAACGTGTGATCCTGGGAAGTAAGGCTGCTCAGCAGAACCCGGCAGAAGTCAGGAGCCTCTGGCAGACCTGCGGGGAGCTCATGTTCTCTCTGGAGCCGCGGCTTCGACACCTCGGGCTGGGGAAGGAGGTGAGGCCCCCCAACCATACAGGAGAGAGGAATCCTTTGAGGCTACCTGGCATGGAGGGAAGGGTACCTGATAGGCAGTGGGCTTTGCCTCACAGTCTTAAGGCCGAGCTGCTCACACGACTGTGGGCTTCAGTTTTGTCATTTGTAAACTAGGAAGCAAGCTGGATGGAATGCTTTCTTTCCTTTTTTTAATACTTAAAACAATTTTTTTTTTAAATGCTTATTGTGTATTTTTGAGAGAGAGACAGAGCATGAGCAGGGGAGGTATGGAGAGAGAGGGAGACACAGAATCTGAAGCAGGCTCCAGGCTCTGAGCTGTCAGCACAGAGCCCGACACAGGGATCGAACTCACAAGCTGTGAGATCATGACCTGACCCGAAGTCGGCTGCTTAACCGACTGAGCCACCCAGGCGCCCCTGGATGGAGAGCTTTCTGAAAGCCCTTCCAGTTCTGAAGTCTGGGGTGGTGTGTGCAGAAGGGAAGGAGAGGAGCCAAGAGTGAGAGGGAGCTGAGGAAGGGAAGAAGGGAGAGGAGGGAGCCTAGGCTTCCCGCCCCTGGAGGCCACGCAGCAGCTGCGTGGTGTGAGGGATGTGACAAGCCTGTGCGAGGGGCCAGCCTGTGAAAGACTGGAGTAGAGCTGCAGGAAAGCTAGAGACGGACCTCTCTTTGTTATTTGTGTTACAGTTTTTCCCCCAGGAAAGAGATGGAGGGGGCAGGGTGGAGGCTGCTGGGAGGAGGTACAGGAAACCTGGGGCTGTGGGGGGAAGTGTGCCGGGAAGGGAGTCTCCCCACCTCAGCAATTCCTTCTTCCTGTCCATCCCCTTCCTCAACAGGGAATCACCACCTATTTCTCCAGGAATTGCACCATGGAAGATGCCAAACTGGCCCAAGACTTTCTGGACTCACAGGTTTGAGGACTGGGGACTCAGGACAGTGGTTTGACGGGACCCACTCATCGCCAGCACCCACTCTGGGTCTCAGCTTGGGACCAGAGACACTGGCATCTTGGGTGTTTGAGGCGGACAAGACTTGGGAATGCTAGTCCAAGTGTTGGCCTGGCCCCAGTGAAGATGACATTCCCACGCATGGCTGTGACAGAGCTGCCCCCGCCCGCCCCAGACTGAAAGCCTTAATGACAGCCTCAGGGCAGGACGACACAGAGCATCAGAGCCGCTTCCCGTTGGGCCCTGGCTTCCACATGAAGCCAACATGAACCTCCCAGAAGCTGTGTGACCAGTTTCACGTCTGCTGCCTCACAGAGCCCTGGGTTAGCTGAGGGCATGCAGTGCTGGGCACAGTCGGGTCAGCACTTAGTAAACGTTAGTGCTCAGCATGTAGAGCAGAACTGGAGAGCCTGGCCCGCCTGCCCACCTGTTTCCCCCACCCCAGTCCAGCTGCCTCGGGCAGCTTCCCCCAGCGGCCCCGGCCTGCTTTGCTTCTGTATCTTCTCTCCCTGGTGTGACCCTTTCCCTGCTCCCACCTTGCAGCCCCCTCTGGACTTTACCCTTCCCCAGACCCATGCCCTGGTCTTTTCCAGAACCTCAGTGCCTACAACACGCGGCTCTTCAAGGATGTCGACCAGGATGGGAAGCCCCGCTATGAGGTGCGGCTGGCTTCTGTGCTTGGCACGGGTGAGCTGCTTCACACACCCCTTCTACTCCTGCCTCAGTGCTCCTGGACCAGGGCAGAGGGGGCTGGACTGAGGACAGGGGCTGGTGGGTTATGCGGGAGCTGCAGGGAAGAACGGTCATGATAGTCACGGCGCATGTGGATTGCAGACTCACCGGGTGCCGTGCTCTGTGTACAGGGGTACCTGTGAGGGAATGCTTGCCCCAGTGCTGGCTGTGACAGTAAAGAAATGGGGGGAAACATGACGACAGGGAAAGGGGTTCCGTTCCACTTGGCAGGTGTTACTGCTGCAAGCCTCTAACGGGAGCCGTGTTGGGCATGATCCCCATCACAAAAAATAACAACCCACGTAAATAATGGGAAGAGAGGCTGGGCCATATGCCCCTTGACAGCCTAGAAGAGAAATCCAGACTATACATCAGTGAAGACCATATATGTCTTGGAGGCTGGGGGGAATCTAGAAAGTTTGAGATGGCTAACGTACTAAAGTCTGCTTCCTAACTATCAGGTACCCTCAGGGTAAAGCCCAAATCCACCCCTAAGGGCTGTATCATTCAAAACTCTTTTTTTTTTTTTTTTAATGTTTGTTTATTTTGAGAGAGAGAGAGAGAGAGAGAATCCCAAGCACGTTCTACACTGTCAGTGCAGAGTCCTACATGGGGCTTGATCCCACAAACCAAGAGATCATGACCTGAGCTGAAACCAAGAGTCGGACACTTAACCAACTGAGCCACCCAGGCACCCCTGTCATTCAGAACTCTTTGCAAATGAAGAGTCTATTTCAAATTTGCCTGAACCGGAACCCAAGTACTTAACAGGCTTGGGTAATTAAGAAGCCTGGAGTAGGATGGCTTCAAGCACAGCTGGATCCAGCTGCTCAGACAGTATCCTGAGAAATTTCTCTCTCTGTGTCTTGGCTCAGCTCTCTGACTTCATCCATGGCATGTTCCTCCCACACGGGGCCTGATAGTGGACCAGCCTGGCCAGTCCAGCAGAAAGAGAGCCCTCTTCTCCCAGAAGTTTCTTCATAAGGTCTGGGAGTGGCTCCAGTTTCCCTATCCTGCATACCGTATTTATCTGTGAACCAATCCCTGTGGTCAGGGACAGATATCTCATTGTCTAGACCCTGATCCCAAGCCTACCTCAGAGCCAGGTGATGAGGTCAGCCCCTCCCACTCACCTGAACCGGAGGTGGTCCTGGTGGAGGATTCTCAGAGGAAAGCTGGGGTCTGTTCCCAGGTGAGAAGGAAATGTATTCGGTATGGACAGAAATATCCAGGCCCCTGTGAGGGCCTTTGCAACCTGGCCCTCCCTTTTCCACTCACTTGCCTCCTCCCAGCCCCCAGCCTCATATTCCTGCAAGCCTCCCACTTAGACTCTGTGCCCCAGCCACACTCAGCGGCTTCCAGTTCTCTGAAAACCCCTTGTTCTCATGTACGCTGTCCAGGACTTAGCACAATCTGATCCCTTTCCCACCTCAAATGCTTCCCTCCCTTCGCTCATGTGATGAATACCTACTCATCCTTAAGACTGCGCTTGAACATCACCTCCAGGACCTTTCCCTGCCTTTCGATGACTTTCCTTCTCTTTTCCCACCAGCAACACCCAGTAATTCCCCAGGTTTCTTGCAGTTGCTGTTGACTACAGGCTCCTCAAGGGGAGGAATTGTAGGTTTCGTTCACCAGTGTCTCCCCACTGGCCAGCACGTGGCAGAAACTCAGATATTGGTTGTGTGAAGAGGTGAAGATGGCTGGAGACCCACGCTGCTGGTGGAGCGAACAGCGTGAGCCCCAGAGCACGGTGGAAGGGGAGTTTAAGGATTGGCGAGTAGTTTGATTTGACTAAGGAAAGGGATATTGGGTTCGGGGGAGGAGAAGCTGGACCTGTACTTACATATACTCTACTGCGTACAGGACAGTGCCTGAGAACACCGCTCGGAGCCAGGCTGCCTGGGTGTACCTGTGGTGTTATCTATTGCTCTGTACAGATGCCCCCCAAATTTAGTGATGGAAACCCACCTTTTCATGCTCACAGAGTCTCCGGGTCGGTAATTTGGCTGCGGCACGGTAGGAACAGCTGGTCCCTGGTGACGATGTCCGAGGCCTCAGCTGCGAAAACTCAGAGGCTGGGGGGTCATCGATAGCCAGGGGTTTGGAATCACCCGCAGGCTGTCACTCACACATCTGGTGGAAGATGCTAGCTGCCGGCCGGGACCTCAGCAGGGGCCAAAGCACCCCATGTGGTTTCTTTGCGTCAGTCACGGTGGCTAGGGTTCCCAGAGAGCCGGGCAGGAGCTGTGTCACCATCTAGGGCCTGGTCTCAACATCACTTTTGCTATAGTCGCAAGTCTGCCCAGCGTCAAGAGGACGGAAAAGAGCCCCCGCATCCTAATGGAGGATGTCACATTTGGGACATGGGAAATGTCACATTGGGTCATGGGAAGCACCATGGTTATCTTTTTTTCTTAAACATAATCTAGAAGTACATCGTACTGCTCAGGAACAACAAGCAAAACACAACAAATCACAAATTCGGTGGCATAAAACAACACACATTTATTTGGCCGCTGTTTGGAGGTCCAAAGTCAAAAACAAGTTCCAGAAGGAACTGGAGCCTCCAGGGGAAATACTCTTTCAGCTTCACCTTCTAGAGGCTGCCTGCTCTCGTTGGCTCATGTCCCCTTCCTCCCCTCTCTCCAACCTCCTTCTCTCATCACGTCTCCTACTTCCTGTTCACCCTCTTGTCTCCTTGTAAGACCCGCTGTGATTACATTTAGGGGATAGCTGTCTTTTCAAATACAGTTTGCCACCCTAGGTTTGAATCCTGCTCTGCCATTTGCTGCCCGTGTGACCTTCGGAAACTTACTTTACCTCTCGGTGCCTTTGTTTCCCCATCTGTAAAATGGAGATCACTCCCCCTAGAGCTGACGTGAGGCTTAAATGAGTTAACATGTGTGCAATACTTAGAACATTTCAAAAACATTTTTTTAATGCTTATTTATTTTTGAGAGGGAGAGACAGAGCGTGAGCAGGGGAGGGGCAGAGAGAGAGGGAGACACAGAATCCGAAGCAGGCTCCAGGCTCTGAGCTGTCAGCACAGAGCCCGATGTGGGGCTTGAACTCAGAGACCATGAGATCATGACCTGAGCTGAAGTTGGACGCTCAACTGACTGAGCCACCCAGGCGCCCCAAGAACATTTCATATTATGGGGGTGCCTGGGTGGCTTAGTTGGTTGAGTGTTTGATTCTGGATTTCGGCTCAGGTCATGATCGTAGGGTTGTGGGATCAAGTCCTGTGTCGGGCTCCTCGCTGAGTGTGAAGTCTGCTTAGGATTCATTCTCTCTCTCTCTCTCTCTCTCTCTCTCTCTCTCTCTCTCTCTGTCTCTGTGTCCCTCTTCCCCCACCCTCTGCACCTCTCCCGTGCTCATGCACTCTCTCTCTCTCTCTAAAAAGAGAAAAAGAACATTTCATATTAGGTAATATATGTATATTTGAAAATGAAAGTTTATACTAGTTTCCGTAGGCAGTGGGGAGTTGTGGAAGATCTTAGAATAAAAGAGTGTCACGGTGCGAAGCCTGCTGGGGTGTTTTACACTAGCAATCCTTCTTCCCTCAGAGTCTGCTCTGCATTCCGAAATGACGTCCAGGCTGAAGAGCTACGAATTCCGTGGGAACCATTTTCAGGTGACGCGGGGGGACTATGCACCTATCCTCCAGAAGGTGGTGGAGCACCTGGAGAGAGCCAAGGTAGGGCTGGCTGGGGGCTGAGGCGTGCCAGCTCCAGATCCCTCTGGGCATCAGAGACAAGTCAGGACAAGTGGGTGGCTTGAGACTGACCGACCCTTGCTCCCCCCCAGGCATATGCAGCCAACAGCCGGCAGGAACAGATGCTGGCTCAGTACATAGAGAGTTTCACCCAGGGCTCCATCGAGGCCCACAAGAGGGGCTCCCGCTTCTGGATACAGGACAAAGGCCCCATCGTAGAGAGGTGAGGCACGAGCCTTCACCCCGGCTGCCCCCCTCCTGCCTGCCCCTTTTCTATCTCTGCCCTTTTCTCCCCCAGTTACATCGGGTTCATCGAGAGCTACCGAGACCCCTTTGGTTCCCGTGGAGAGTTTGAAGGTAACTTCTGGGAGAAGGGGGTCAGCTTACAAACCCTTATCCCATGTCTCCTGAGAGTTCTCCCCTCCCCCCTTGGCAGTAATACAACAATAATCAGAACCAGTGTTGATGATTTACCACGTAGCCCTTAACTGTATTAGCTCCTTTGGACATCATCGTCCCATGAGAATTGCTATCCTCACTGTACAGAGGTGGTTACAGAGGTTGGTGAGTGGCTAAGCCTGGAACCTCGGCTCTGAGCCACTTTGCTGTTCTGCCTTTGCTGTCTGGTCCAGAGCCCAGCTTTGCCACTCACCGGCTGTGTGACCTCCCCAGCTGTGTAAACCCAGAGATGAGCATCCCTCACTCCCTTTCAGGTGTCGTGGGAAGTGAGGTATTCTATGTAGGCTGTCAACGCAATGCCAGGCACATGAAAGGTGCTGGGTGAGTGGGAGCATAATTAACATCATGATTGTGAACTTGACTTGGCTGCTGTCATCCCAGGGCAGGTGGGAAGCTGCCTTAGCCTCCATGTTTATGCCCATATCCCCAGGCATCCAGCCTGAGGATTTAGACTTCTGTGCCAAGCCTTATCCTCCCCAGCCCCTGGAGATAGAGTCTGAAGCATCCAGCTGCTAGAAGCCAGAGAGATTAGCCTGGGAGGAGAGAGAAAAGCCCCAACAGCCCCTGGGGGCAGCTTAGATCTGAGCTCATAGATGCAGGCCGAGGGGGCAGGTGATGCAGGTACCAGAGGGGAGGACAGGTGTGTGCACCTGCAGCTTCTGTGCCTGGGTCCTGATTCTCCAGACCTCTCTCAGGGTCAAGACCCCAGAATCTCCTAAGTAGCCTTGATCTCAGAGGCTCCCCTTTTTACCCCAGTTCATTGTGATTATTAGAAAACTAGTCCATGTTCGTGGTCACAAATTTTGAAAGCAGAGGAAAAGAAATCATCTGTGATTACACCCACCTCAAGGTTAAAATTGGGAATGTACATTGTGATTTTCATTTTTATATAGAGCTGTAAATGTTTCAAAATGTGTGTGGGGGGGATTTAAAAATCCATGTTTGTTGTAAGTAATTGGAACAATACCTAAGTATGTAGGATACAATGTGAAATTTCCCCCCTGTGACACTCCTCTCCAGAGGTCACCACTGTTCACAGTTCACTATAGGTCTTTCCAGAGCTTTGTTTAAGCGCGCACACACACAAACACACGCAACTTTTAATTCGTCCAGGTAAATGAGGTCATGCTGTATATATTGTTCTGCCACTTGCTTTTTTTACTGAATGTTTTGGATATCTTTTCAAATCAGTATGTATCGACCTACCATGTTCTTTTTATCTTTTTTATTTTTATTTTTTATTATTAAAAAATTTTTTTTAATGTTTATTTCTTTTTGAGAGAGAGAAAGACAGAGTGCAAGCAGGGGCAGAGAGAGAGAGACAGAGAGAGAGAGGGAGACACAGAATCCGAAGCAGGCTCCAGGCGCCAAGCTGTCAGCGCAGAGCCTGACTTGGGGCTCAAACTCACGAACCGTGATGTCATGACCTGAGCCAAAGTCGGATGCTCAACTGACTGAGCCACTCAGGTGCCCCAATATTCTTTTCACTTTTACTTTTTTTTTTTTTTTACTTTTTTTTTTTTCCAACGTTTATTTATTTTTGGGACAGAGAGAGACAGAGCATGAACGGGGGAGGGGCAGAGAGAGAGGGAGACACAGAATCGGAAACAGGCTCCAGGCTCTGAGCCATCAGCCCAGAGCCTGACGCGGGGCTCGAACTCCCGGACCGCGAGATCGTGACCTGGCTGAAGTCGGACGCTTAACCGATTGCGCCACCCAGGCGCCCCTCACTTTTACTTATTTATTTTTTTAAGTAGGCTCCACACCCAACGTGGATCTTGAACTCACGACCCAAAGATCAAGAGTCACATGCTCTACCAACTGAGCCAGCCAGGCTCCCCCCATGTTCTTTTCAGTAGCTGCATAATATTATAATTTCCCATGACATTCAATATTGTGCTACACGTCTAACAGTTACATGGTGTGCCATCATATAGCCGCCCCCTAATTTATTTAACCAGTCCCTGAGATTGCTTTTTCTTCTTTGCTATTTTATTATATTTTTTAAAATTTTTTTTAGCTTTTATTTATTTTTGAGAGACAGAGAGAGACAGAGCATGAATGGGGGAGGAGCAGAGAGAGAAGGAGACACAGAATCCGAAGCAGGCTCCAGGCTCTGAGCTGTCAGCACAGACCCCGATGCGGGGCTTGAACCCACGAACCCGTGAGATCATGACCCAAGCCGAAGTCAGACGCCTCACTGACTGAGCCACCCAGGTGCCCCTCTTTGTTATTTTAATCATCCCAGCTTTCTGGCCTGGTGTCAATTCCACCTGACAGAGTGGCTCCAGACAGGGAGGCTTCGTCCAGTCTAACCCTTGGCCAAGTTAATCCATTCTTTGCAAGAGCCTGACCAGGCAGTAGTCTAGGCCAGTCCTTTCCAAGGTATAGGTCATGCAGGGTTAACACGAATTACACCATGAAGGGTTCAGTGCTAAGCAGCAAGGGGTCTTGCCTACAGGACTCTTCAGTACCTCTAATATGCAAACGTACATTAAGAATCTCTAAGAAGCTAGTGATAGAGCATATAGTGGTATCCAAATTTATTTAACCAGGAAGCTCTTTCTTTATGAAGGCCTTTATAGAAACAGCATTTTATGGAGTACAACTTTAGAAACTGTGCTTTAAGCTGGGAACTCCTAGCTTAAAAACTCCTTTTTAAATCTAAAAGGATCAGCCCCAGCCCTCCTGCATAGCAGCCTCACCGTGCAAGTCAGATGCTCTAGCCATGCAGGACAGCTCAGTTTCTCCAAAAAGAAGAGCATCTTTTTTGTTCATGCAGTCCCTTCCACTGGGAATCCGATCCTTTACCCACTGCCCCCTATGTGCTCCCCGTGATCTCCTTTAAGATCCATCTCAGGTGTTACCCACTGAAGCCTTCTCCTTACAGCCCACCCACCCCAGTGACCTCCACGAAGGCAGGGCCAGGCCTGGGTCACTGTTCTCCCCACTGGCCGGCAAAGGGTATTGCACACAGCAGGCATTCAATACATGCGTGATGGCTGGAAGTGGGGTATAGGATCCCTCCCAAGCCCTGCCAGCCCACAGCCCCCCTCCTTCCCTGCAGGCTTTGTGGCCATGGTGAACAAGGCCATGAGTGCCAAGTTTGAGTGTCTGGTGGCAAGCGCAGAACAGCTGCTGAAGGAGCTGCCCTGGCCCCCGGCCTTCGAGAAGGACAAGTTCCTCAGCCCCGACTTCACCTCCCTGGATGTTCTCACCTTCTCTGGCTCTGGCATCCCTGCTGGCATCAACATTCCCAACTGTGAGCTTCCTCAGGCCCCTGAAGCCATCACGGTATCCCCCCTGAGCCTCCAGGGTCACCCCTCCCCCTCACACACTCGCCCTGGCCACATGCTGCCGTAATCAGTTCTCCATCGCACCCTGGTCCCCTTGTCTCGACTCCTTGTCTGTGGCCTTGATTTTTGCCCCTCTCCCGGTTCCCTCCCCGCCTTCTCCAGATGACGACCTAAGGCAGACGGAAGGCTTTAAGAACGTGTCACTGGGGAACGTGCTGGCTGTGGCGTACGCTACACAGCGGGAGAAGCTTACCTTCCTGGAGGAGGATGACAAGGTGGGCACTGGCAGCCCGAGGGTCTGGGTTGGGCCTGGCCTGACCTCAGCTGACACGGGAAGGCAGAGGGGTCCTGGGCAGGGAGAGGAAAGAGCAGGGCCAACCACTTCCCAGCCTGGTGGCCCCGTGACTTGGCCTGTTTGCTCACCTGTCAAACAGTGGAGGCAATTCCTTCCTCCTGGGTTGTTGCAAGGGTGAGGTGGGCCATGCGGTGCCCTGCGCAGAGCCTGGCATAAAGTAGACGGCGGGCCCTCTGCCTGGCAGCAGGGGCATTAGTGGCTTTGCGGCTGTGGTGGGGCGGCAGACAGCGTGGGTCTCTACTTGTCTTGGCAGGACCTGTACATCCGCTGGAAGGGGCCCTCCTTTGATGTGCAGGTGGGACTGCACGAGCTGCTGGGACACGGCAGCGGCAAGCTCTTTGTGCAGGTGAGAACAACGCGCCTGCAGCTCCCCTCCCCCGGGATCAACTCCACCCTGGATGAGTCTGCTTCAGTCTTTGCGCTCAGGGGTTCTGGGTTAGCTGGGGAAAATGGCCCCTTAATGAGGGGAGTTCCTATCTCTCCCTCCCCTAAGATGTCCCAGGAGCCTCAAGGGTGCAGGGCCTGCAGGACAGTCCAGCTGCGGTCTGAACAGGAAGCCTTGCGAGGCTCAGGCCAGGGAAGCCTGCCCTGGGGGTGCGACTCAGATAGCCCCAGGGACAGGGAGGCTCCGAGAGGCAGTCTCTGGATGCGCCCAGTCCTGAGGCTGCAGCATGATCTGTCTGTTCTACTTACTGTTCCCTGGAGCCTGCACCTCTCCAGGTATTACAGGGAGTCACTTCTCCCCAGGGCAGCCCCTTCCTGCCAGCCGGCCAGAATGGCTGGAGCCCCTTTGACAACCACTCAGGGAGTATGGAGAAGACAGACAGCCTTTCTGCCAGGCTGAGAAGAGCCCATCCTGGACCGCTAGCATGGAACTGCACAGATGAGATGACCAGAGGCGGCTGGGGCCAGGACATTGGAGGGAGCGGGGTTCTGGGTTGGGCCTGTGCCCTGTGAGTTGGGGCACCTCACTGAGTGGGGAGGGGCTGGAGGCCAGGAGGATCCAGAGAGCAGCTAGTGGGGACAGCAGCCTGGCATTGGGCCCTGTCCAGGCTTTGAAGTCACAGGGAAATGTGGATAAATGTGGCTACGCTATGTCCTTGGATAAGTCAGTTCTCCTTAGTGAGCCTTATTTGGCCCATCTGCAAAACAGGGACCCTGACTCCTACCACATGGGCTATTGTGAGGAATAAAAGCAAAGCCCTCGGGCCTGCCTGATGCAGTAGGCCCTCTGAAAATAGGTGTTATTGTTGAGATAGTGTGCACGAAGGTTATGTGCTCTGATTCCACTTTGGGGCTGAGAGTCTCTGAGCCTCAGTTTCCTCCTCTGTGGATGAGGGTGATAGGACCTCCCTCGGGGGGGGGGGGCAGTTATGAGGAATAAACGGCAGGTGCATAAAAGACACTTGGCACACAGAGTGGATAATAGCTTATTTGAGGCAGAGAATCACAGGCTGTGGGCTCTTCCAGCGTGGCAAGGGGCTGGGAAACACATAGGGGGGCAGCAGCCAAGCTTTCTGGCCCACCCACTGATACGCATCTGGGGTCTGGAGATCCTGGGTCTGGGTCTTCAAGTGACTGGGGGTTCTGAGAGGGCAGCCAGTGTCACGGGACTCAGGTTTGGAGGCGGCAGCGTGCGGATGGCCCTTGAATCCCCGGGCTGGAGTCCTGGGCTGGGGCAGAGGCAGCTTTCCCTCATTGCCTCCTGTCATGACCCTTCTGCAGGATGAAAAAGGAGCATTTAACTTTGACCAGGAAACAGTGATCAACCCAGAGACGGGGGAGCAGGTGAGGGCGGCCTCGGTGGAGCCCCAGGGTGCTGGGCTGGGCATGGCTGGGGGAGCAGCTGCCCCTAAGCCTGCTTCCTGGGCCTCCTCTCCCAGATTCAGAGCTGGTACCGGAGCGGGGAGACCTGGGACAGCAAGTTCAGCACCATCGCCTCTAGCTACGAAGAATGCCGGGCTGAAAGCGTGGGCCTCTACCTCTGCCTCAACCCCCAAGTGCTAGAGTATGAGCACCAGGCATGGGGGGTGGGCCTGCTGTGTAGACGGAGGGTGTGCTGGCCGAGGGGTGGGTCAAAACCCAGGCAGCCTCTGACTGGCCCTGCCACCACCCTGTCCCTCCACCAGGATCTTTGGCTTTGAGGGGGCTGATGCGGAAGATGTGATCTATGTGAACTGGCTCAACATGGTTCGGGCCGGGCTGCTCGCTCTGGAGTTCTACACCCCTGAGGTGTCTAGCTGGAGACAGGTAAGGACCAAGGTCAGGATTCTAGGTGTAGGGATTGGACAACCATATCTACCTACAAGGTACATGAACTGGCTTTAATCCCAGACTCTACTGCCTATGGTCGGGGCTGGGGAGGGGGGTGGGGAGGGTAAGTCACACTGCTGTGAGCCTCAGTGTCCCTGTCTGTGCAACGCGAGTAATAATCCCCCTGCCCCCTTCTGATGGCAAATCAGATGAGGTGATTTTACTATGACTGCTAATAGTTGACTTGTGTAGGACTTACTCCGTGCCACACACGTTTCTAAGCACTTTACCTGAATTGACTTATTTGTTCCCAGTGTCAACCCCAGGAGGTAGGTGTGTTATTACTCTCATTGTAGACATGAGGCAGTGGAGGCACAAAGAGATTAAGTAACTTGTTGGTAAGTAGCAGAGCCAGGATTCAAATCCAAGCGGTCTGCCTCCAGAGCTTTAGGCTAGACTGGTCAGTTATGAGATGTGTTTTGGAAATAAGGTAAGCAGTAGGGACGTTTTTGAAAGTTATACAAGTATGTTCTAAGGAGGTGATCTTATGTCATCAAAAGAGCACACGTTTTAGAGTCAGGAAACTTAGGTGTAAGTCCTTGCTCTCTGTAACAGCTGTGTGATCCTCAGCAAGTCCGTTCACCTCTCTGGGCCTCTGTTTTGTCATCTGTAAACTGGGGATCCTGATGCTCACTTGGTCCCACTGTTGAATGCAAACAAGATGTGGAGGAGAAGGTGCTTGGTGACCTGGACTGCGCGGGACCCCCAGAGCCATCTGCTATCATCAGGGTGGGGTTTGGAGCAGAGAAAGGCATAGGGGTTGGTAAAGGGGAGCACAGGGCTCACGGTTCTGCCTGGGAATGGCCTTCCTATTTCCCAGGAAAGCCTGTCTTCCCTTGTGAGCAGAGAAGGGAGGAAGCACTTAAGGCAGAAAAAGGCCCACGGAATGAGGGAGAATACAATGGTAAGAATTAATTGACAGTTAATGAGCACATACTGTATGTTAGGCCCAAGCTCTTGATAGGTCTTCCATCAGGGCTGCAAATGATTCCTTTCTTCTTGGCTCTGGCAGGCCCACATGCAGGCCCGGTTTGTGATCCTGAGGGTCTTGCTGGAGGCTGGCGAGGGACTCGTTACTGTCACTCCCACCACAGGCACTGATGGGCGGCCAGATGCCCGCGTCCGCCTTGACCGCAACAAGATCCGGTCTGTGGGCAAGCCTGCCCTGGAGCGGTTCCTCAGGAGACTTCAGGTAAGCAGGGGCCTCTTGCCCTCCAGACTTGCTCTCCAGCACCACCTTGTAGCCTTCTGATCATCCGTTTATTTATTAATTTATTTTTATTTATTTATTCAGTCATTCGACAAGTCTGTATACCGAGTGTTACCACGTGCCAGGCACTGAGATGAAGGGAAGGCTTACTACCGAGAAGGGAAACAATAAACATGTGAACAATTAGTGAATGAGATCATTTCAAATCACGAAAAGACCTGTACAGGCAGTAAAACTTGGTGATGTGATAGCAAGCGAGATTGGAGGGGAAAGGGATGCAGAGCCCCCTTAGCCTGGGTGGTCAAAGAAGGCTTCTTGGAGGAGATGGTATTTAAGCTGGAACTTGAGTGGCAAGGAGGAACCTTGGCTGCGAGAAGATGTGAGAGCAGAAGAAACAGGAAGCACAACGTCTGGTTTGGGGATTGGAATGAGCTTCGTGGGTTGAGGGACAGGAGGAGGCCTGGAGCTTAGTAGGTAAAGGACAGTGGTCAACGTGGCCCTGGCTGCTCTCCCATGTCGGGATGCTTAGAGCCGGGACCTTTGGGCGTTCTGGTGTCAGTATTAACCAGCTGTGTGATTGGGACAACATACTCTGCCTTGCTGGGCACGACTTTTCTCATGTGTTAAATGGGATACATTCCCTGCCTCACCTGGCAGGAATCACATGAAACGACATACTGAGATAAAATGTGTTCTCCAAGCCAGCGTGACGTTAGGTGTGGTCCATGGATCACCAGCATCAGCATCACCCAGGAGCAGGCTACAAATGCAGATTCTTGGGCACCACCCCAGACCTGATTCAGAAGTTGTGAGAGCAGGGTCCAGGAATATGCATGTTTACCTGCCTGCTAGGTGAGTCTGACACTCAGCAAAGTTTAAGAGCCACTGAAGGCTCGCTCTTCGTGGTGCAGCGACTTCCATTGGAGCGGGGTCCTGCCAGTTTTTTCAACCAGTAGAAGGCCCAGCTTTTCAAATCAGCAAATACCTCTGTGTTTATACTCCTGCCTATTTCCAGAAAGGCATTTTTTTTCTTTTTTTTTTTAAAGAACAATGATGTATTATTTTTTTTTAATTTTTTTTTTTTAACGTTTATTTATTTTTGAGACAGACAGAGCATGAACGGGGGAGGGTCAGAGTGAGGGAGACACAGAATCCGAAACAGGCTCCAGGCTCTGAGCTGTCAGCACAGAGCCCGACGCGGGGCTCGAACTCATGGACCGCGAGATCGTGACCTGAGCCGAAGTCGGCTGCCCAACCGACTGAGCCACCCAAGCGCCCCAAGAAAGGCATTTTTTTAAATAAAAGATATTTGGCCGTTAAAGTAAAATTAGAAATTAAACGTCAGTAGATGCAAAATGCAATATGATGTCTTAGATTCTGGAATAGAAGAAGGCCATTAATGGGACAACTAGTGAAATCTAAATTAGGTCTAGAGTTTAGTTGTTAGTAATGTACCAATTTTGTACAATGTTAACAACAGGAGACGCTGGGCAAGGGTCATATGAGAACTCTTTGTTTTATCTTTGCAGCTTTTCTGCATATCTGAATTATTCCAAAATAGTTTGTTAATAGTAATAACAACAACAAGTCACTAGGTGAAGGAGTCAAATCTCCCAAATCCTAGGCCAATATTGAACTGTGACTGAGTATTGAACAAGCACAAAGTGTTCCGTTCTAGGGACTGAACCAGTTCAGTCTCTGTATAAGAGGAATCATTCAGCAGGATGGACAGTGACCTCAGCAATAGTTTTACAGAAGAAACAGAATATGGAAGCATTTCTGGTGTGGCTGTTTGTTTTATTAGCCCCTTAGTAAAAGCCAAGAGCACAGCAAGGAGACCGCAAGCAGGGAAGATGAAGGCATTTCCGTAAGGAGAGGCTTCAGCCGGGGTCACACACACAGTCCATTTTGGCCCACCGTGTATTGTGAAAATTGTCAAGCTTGGGTATAAATCTGTATTTCTGTCTTCTTGGAAGGACTGGCATCAGTAGGCTCAAGTCCCATGTGAACAAGAGGCTGAAACTAAGCAGGAGCCACCATATTTGGACATCTGGGCATGGCAGGACTCTCCAGTTTGCCAGGTCTACTCCCTACTACCTATACCTGCCTTAGTCAGGTTTATGAAACCATCTGCCTCCCACTGGCACCCGTGTTACCAGCTCTCTGGTTTAAGCTCATGGGGTCTGACATGTCAGCTCGGTGAATGTGTGTTCAGTATTTCCGTGTGCTCAGTACTGTTGGGAAGACAGAAAGACAAGATGTTCTCTTTAACTGATCCCTCAGAGGTCCCCGTTGTTTTTCTTTACTAGAGCTAATAACCTTGTAACCCTGGGTCTAAGAGGAAGAGGCTTACCTGGTGGGAGCCCTAGCAGGAGTCCTACTTTGCCACCTGCAGATCGGCAGAAGTAAGGATCAGACCCACAAAATGTCAGATACTTGGAAAAAAGTCACATGGAACTCCCAGAAATAAACTATCCAGCCAATGAAACTAAAAATAGGCAGGTTAAACAAATTTTAGATTCAGCTAAAGATAAAAGAAAATATACAGCAGGTAGCACAGAGACAAAGATAGAAATTTTAAAAGAGGGGCGTCTTGGTGGCTCAACTAGTTGAGCATCCAACTCTTGGTTTCAGCTCAGGTCATCTCACAGTTCGTTTTTGGGCTCTGCACTGAGCATGGCGCCTGCTTGAGATTCTCTCTCTCTTCCCCCCTGTCTCTCTCTCCTGCTCTGCTCTCTTTCTAAACACACACACACACACACACACACACACACACACACACACACACACAACTTAAAAAGGAAAAAAAAAGAAAATTTAGAAGAGAAGTGGAGAGTCATGGGAGACAATGTGAAAAGGTCTAAGGAAGTAAACTGAAACTTTAAGAGGAAAGGAGAGAGAGAGGGAGGGGGAAGACATATTAGAAGAGATAATGGCTGAGAATTTCCTAGAACTGAGTAAAGACCCAATTCATAAGTCCATCAAGTTTTAGAATTCAGGGAAGAGAAGGAAATACATAGAAAATAGGAGGGGAAAAATCACAAATATAAGAGCAGACACAAAGGAGCTGAAATACAACTAAGGAGAAGACCAACAAGTCCAAAGTTGATTATTTGAAAAGATAATAAAATCGACAAACATTTGACAAGGTTTGTCAAGAAAAAGAGCGAAGACACAAATAAAAGTAGAAACTTAAAGGGCACATAAGTACAAATATATCAGAAACTTACGTCAATAAAATTCACAAGTGGACAAATTCTTAGACAAATAAAACATACTGAAGTCCACCCATGAGTAGATGACTCGAGTGGTCCTTCAGCCATTATAAAAATTAAATCAGTGATCTAAAGTCTTCATACAAAAAATACTAAGAGTTTTATAGGTGAATCCTTCAGAATATTCAAGTAACAGGTGGTATCAATCTTACATAAACTCTTCCAGAAAATGGAAAAAGAGAGAATGTTCTCCACCTCATTTTATAATGCTAGTTTGACCTGGATACCAAAGTTAAAGATAGTTCCAAAAAGGAAAATGTAAATACCAAAATTCTAAACAAGATCCTAGCATACCAAATCTAGAAAATACCAGCTTGGATTTATCCCAGAAATGCAAGGTTTATTTAGCATTAGAAAATACATTTATGAAAATTGCATATTAACAGATTAAAAGAGAAAAACCACAATCATCTCAATAAATTTAGAAAAAGCTCTTAAAGACCCTTTATATCCATTTATGATAAAAAAAAAAAAAACTCTTTAAAAACTCAAGAGTTTAGGGGCGCCTGGGTGGCACAGTCGGTTAAGCGTCCGACTTCAGCCAGGTCACGATCTCGCGGTCCGTGAGTTCGAGCCCTGCGTCGGGCTCTGGGCTGATGGCTCAGAGCCTGGAGCCTGTTTCCGATTCTGTGTCTCCCTCTCTCTCTGCCCCTCCCCCATTCATGCTCTGTCTCTCTCTGTCCCAAAAATAAATAAACGTTGGAAAAAAAAAAAAAAAACCTCAAGAGTTTAGGGGCGTCTGGATGGCTCGGTTGAGTGTCCGACTTTGGCTCAGGGCATGATCTCGCAGTTTGTGACTTCAAGCCCCGCATCGGGCTCTGTGCTGACAGCTCAGAGCCTGGAGCCTGCTTCAGATTCCATGTCTCCCTCTCTCTGCCCCTTCCCCACTCATGCTCTAGTGATTCTCAAAATGAATCTCAAATGAATAAACATTTAAATGTTTGAGAATAAACATTATTCTCAAAAATGAATAAACGTTTAAGAAAAAAAAATTTAAAAACCCAAAAACTCAAGAGTTGAAAAGAATTTTCTGAACTGATAAAGAATGTTTCAAAAAATGAAAATAGCTGTCAACTGTTGAAATACTACAACACTCCTTTTAAAATCAGAAAGAAGACCAAAATAAAATAAAATAAAAATTAGAAAGAAGACAAAAATGCTCCCTATTTCCACTTCTGATCAACAATTTACTGAAGGTCTTAGGTTTTGGAAGGAAACGAGAAGAAAAATGTAAAGTTTAGGCATTCAAAAGGAAGAAACAAAACTCTTTGTTGCAAATGATATGACTAGGCAAGCCAAACAAATCTACAAATTGTTGAAATTAATAAAGAGTTTCACAGGGTTGAATAAAGTCCCAAGAGGGTTTTTCATGGAACTTGACAAGCTGATTGCAAAACTTAGATGGAAGCATAAATGATCATGATGAAGAGCCAAGGCAGTCCTGAAGCAAAACCGGTTGGGGGACTCATTCCATCAGATACCAAAATTTATTCTAAGATTATGAAGTTCAGTATAGCCCTGGGGCAGGAATAGACAAACTGACCAGTGGAATGAACCAAGAACCAGGCATTGACTCTTGTAGATGATAGAAGGGACATGGTAGGCCACTGGAGAAGGGAGGGACCATTTAATAAGTCATGCTGAGACGACAGGTTCTCCTTATGGAGAGCCAAACTGGATTTCTACCTTCTGCAATACATAGTCAACACCACGAGATTAAAGTCTTACATAGGAAAGGCAAAATTTTAAACTGGGAGAAGAATATCTTTATGACCTCATAGTGAAGGAGAATTTCTCTAAGCACAAGAAGCACCAGCTATCAGGGAGAAGATCGGTCCTTTTAACTACATTCAAAATAGCTTTGGGATGCCTGGGTGGCCCAATTGGTTAAGCGTCTGACTCTTGGTTTCGGCTCAAGTCGTGATCTCAGTTAGTGGGTCAGGCTCCACACAGATAGTGCAGAGCCTGCTTGGGATTCTCTCTCTCCCTCTCTCTCTGCCCCACCCCACCTGAAAATAAATAAATAAAAACTTTAAAAAGTAATTGGCTTTTATTGGAGAACCTGGCTGGCTAAGTCAGTGGAGGGTGAGGCTGTTGATCTCAGTATTGTAAATTCAAGCACCATGTTGGGTGTAGAGATTATTTTAAAAAATAAAACCTCTAGGGGCTCCTGGGTGGCTCAGTATGTTAAAAGTCTGACTTTTGATTTCAGCTCAGGTCATGATCTCACAGTTCATGGGGTCAAGTCCCACTGTCTACACAGAGCCTGCTTAGGATTCTCTGTCTCCCTCTCTATGCCCTTCCACTGCATGCATGCGCTCTGTCTCTCTCTCAAAATAAATGAATAAACATTTAAAAGTTAAAAAATAAGATAAATTTAAATTAAAAATTAAATCTTTAAGGGGCACCTGGGTGGCGCAGTCGGTTAAGCGTCCGACTTCAGCCAGGTCACGATCTTGCAGTCCGTGAGTTCGAGCCCCGCATCGGGCTCTGGGCTGATGGCTCAGAGCCTGGAGCCTGTTTCCGATTCTGTGTCTCCCTCTCTCTCTGCACCTCGCCCGTTCATGCTCTGTCTCTCTCTGTCCCAAAAATAAATAAACGTTGAAAAAAAAATTAAAAAAAAATTAAATCTTTAAGATTAAACTAAAAACACAAATAAAAGGGACACCTGGATGGCTTAGTCGGTTGAGTGTCCAATTTTGGCTCAGGTCAATCTCGCAGTTTGTGGGTTCAAACCCTGTGTCGGGCTCTGTTCCGACAGCTCAGGGCTTGGAGCCTGCTTTGGATTCTGTGTCTCCCTCTCTCTCTCTGCCTCTTCCGTGCTCACATTCTGTCTCTCTCTCTCAAAAATAAATAAACATTAAAAAATTAAAAAAAAAATAGCTTTTACTCATCAAAAGTTACCATAAATAATGTGAGAAGATGAATCTTAAACTAAGATAGGGTATTTACCACATATGTATTAACAAAAGGTTAGTATTTAAATAAATAAAGAACTTAAAAAAAAAAAAAAGGTGAAGAAAGGACAACCCAACACAAAAATAAGCAAAACTCATGAACTGGAGAGGAAAATGAATGATACATCAACTTATGGGAAGACGTTCAACCTCTTGAGCAATCAGGAAAGCACAGCTTAAACCACATGAGGTTTATACCACTAGCTTGGCAAAAATGAAGAACTGCCAACACCAGCCGGGTATACCAGGTGGTCAGGACTGCCAGCCACTGTTTCTGGGAGCATTGCCTGGTCCAACAACTTTGGAGAACAAGGTGGGCTCATCTAAGATTGAGCATTCCCCTGACCTCTAGACAAATGATTCTCCTAGAGAAACCTGCATCTGTTCATTCTGTTCAGCAGGAGATACAAAGGGTGTCAACAGTGGTGCCAAATGGCAAACAGCACAAGCTGCCCATCAGCATGGGAAGAGATTAAATTGTTTGTGTTTATAAGTGGAATACTGGACAGCAGTGAGATGGGTGAACTATAGCTACAGATGAATCTCAGACATAAATTGAGCAGAAAAAGCAAATCATAGGACATAAGCCAAAGTTAAAATAACACGGTTGAGAGCAGAATTTAGGGAACACAGGGAAACGATAAGCACAGAATCGGGGACTATATCCTCAGACAGGAAGCCCCAGGATGCAGTCAAGAAGGGAGCTAACTTGGGGTGCCTGGCTGGCTCAGTCGGGTAGAGCATGTGACTCTTGATGGCATAAGTTAGCCCCATGCTGGGCATAGAGCCTACTTAATTTTTAAAAATTGGGGGCATCTGAGTGGCTTAGTCAGTTGGGTGTCCAACTTCAGCTTAGGTCATGATCTTGCTGTTTGTGGGTTTGAGCCCTGCATCAGGCTCCATGCTGACAGCTTAGAGCCTGGAGCCTGCTTCGGATTCTGTGTCTCTCTTTCTCTGACCCTCCCCTGCTCATGCCCTGTCTCTTCTGTCTCTCAAAAATAAATAAACATAAAAAAATGTTTTTTTTTTTTTGGTGTGGGGGCACCTGCGTCAGTTAAACGTCTGACTCTTGATTTCAGCTCAGGTCATGATCTTATGGTTCATGGGTTTGAGCCTCACATCAGGTTCCATGCTGATGGTGCAGAGCCTGCTTGGGATTCTCTCTTTCTCCCTCTCTCTCTGTCCCTCCCCTGCTCATGTGCATGCTCTCTCTCTCTCTCTCTCTCTCTCTCTCAAAAATAAATAAATACTTTTTTAAAAATTTAATTTTTTTTAAAAAAGGAAGGAACTAAGTCAAGCTGGGTGCTGGTTGCATGGGTGTCTTATTATTTTTTATAACCTATGTATTACATGTTTATGACCCATATGTTATAACCTAATATATGTACTATATATTTTGTGTATGTGAAATAAAAAAAAAAGCGATGGTAATGCTTTCTCTGTCCACAGCTCAAATGAGACAACCAAATGAGAAATACTCGCTTCACTTTACTGGGCACTTACTATGAGCTAAGCCCTTGATCTACATTTCTCACATATTCAGCACAGTAACACCACGAGAGAGCAGATACTGTCCAGGGCTGGGCACAGTTGGCTGCAGCCCCTGGCAAAGCCCCATGGATGCAGGGGAGGTGCCTGTCATAGGCACTGATTCTTCCTGCCTTCCCACAGGTGTTGAAGTCCACGGGAGATGTGGCCGGAGGCCGGGCCCTGTATGAGGGGTACGCAGCGGTCACTGATGCACCCCCTGAGTGCTTCCTCACCCTCAGGGATACCGTGCTGCTCCGCAAGGAATCTCGGAAGCTCATCGTTCAGCCCAACACTCGTCTTGAAGGTAACAGACTGCTGAGCCTCCTTTGATGGGGGGCCATTCAGGGCCCCATGAGAGACGAGGCCTGGAACCAATCCCTGGGCTCAGGCTACCTGAAGTGACTCCTGCCTCTCTCCCTCCCTGCCACAGTCAAACCCCAGGCCAAACCTCAGGCCAAAACCCCAGGCCAAACCCCAGACCAAACCCCAGGCCAAAACCTCAGCATCTACCACCTCCCTGCTACACACACGGTTGTGCTGCTTCTAAGACAGTGACTGGAGGTTTGAGGAAGGCCAGCAGAGCAGGGGCTAGTGGAACAGACAGACTTCAAGCTTATGGGAGGCCAGGAATAGTCCTGGAGAATCAGGCCTCTTGGTGCCTGGGGATGAGGAGAGGTCAGGGCAGGCAGTGAGTTGGAACCCTGCAGGCCGGTGGAACTCTGGGGACAATGTGACTCTGTAGAGCCCAGCAGAGAGATCAGCAGCCTCATGGTCCCTCTCCCTCCTCAAATGATAATCCCGTTTCCAGAAGCCTTACCCTGTCTGCACTGCACTTGTACCTGTTGTATTAGAGGCCCCTGGGGTCCCAGCCTGCTGCTGCATTCACTTTCCGCTCCCCTCCTGACCCATCGTTCCTGACTCCTGTCACATGAGTTAGTGCCGTACAGTGGTTACCACATGAGCTTCAGAGCTGTTCTGTGACCTTGGCCTAATCATTTAACCTCTCTTGGCTTGGGTGTCTTCAGTCACAGAGCCAGTGTTCGTTGTGTGCTGACACTGTAGTAAACCTAAATTAAGTACTCTCTTCAAGCTCTTAGTGCTTTCCTTGGATTAACCCTTTAAATCCTCACCATAGCAGTGCCTGGCTGGCTCTTGAGGTCATGAGTTCAAGTCCCACTTTGGGCATAGCGCTTACTTAAAAAATAAAATAAAAATAAATCCTCACACCATAACCCAATGAGGTAGGTATTATCCCCACTTTACAGGTAAGAAAACAAGCACAGAGACTAAATTGTGCAAGGCTTACAGCTCTTGACTGGAAGAACCAAGAGCCGAATTAAGAGTGCTCCTCACTACCAGAGTCATGGGCAGTCGTGAAGGCTAAATGAAAGAATTACCTCCGACTGGCAAGGAAAACACATTTAAGAGGCTTATTTCCAACTCTTCACGCTGCACTCCAGAGGCTCCAGGGGATTTGGCCCGGACCCCTAGCAGGCCTCTGGGACCCCTCTTCCCTGACTCACTGGCCTCCAGGTTCATGGCCTTTCCATTTCTCCAGCCCCCTGAGCTTGCCCCCTGAGGCTGCCATAGCCTTTGCACTCAATGTTTCCTCCGCTGGGTACAGTCCTCCCCCGATCTTTGGTTGGTCCTTCTTGTCATTTTGGTCTCTGTTAAAATGGCACCTCCTGGGAGAGGCTGACCTTGACCCCTCAACCTAAAGTGATTCCTTCCTGCACTGTCACTCTTTGCTATTTTCCTTGCCTGCCTTGCCTCCATGTCAGCGAAAATGGCACATCCCCCGCAAGTAGCTAGTATGGGGCCTGGCACACAGGAGCTGCTCAATGCATGTCAAATGAGTAATCGTGCCAGACACATAATAAATGCTCATTACAACAGCATTGCTCTGCTTGTCCAGCCCTATGTGGGCCCTTGGGGATGGAGCAATGAATCAGACCCAGGCCCTTGCCTCAAGAGTTCACAGTCCATTAGGAATAAGGCCTAGAGAGAAATGATCACACCCAGGGAGTGTTAATAAGCACCCAAGAGGCCCAAACGGTGATCTGAACACTTAGAGAAGGTCACATTCACCTTCAGGGGAATCGGTGAAGCTTCTGGGGAGGAAGTGGTTAAACTAAGCCTGAAGAGCAGGTTGGATTTTCAAAGATGTGGTGGTGGTGGTGGTGGTGGTGGTGGTGACTAACTTTTGAGGACTTTTATGTGGTAGTCACTGGGTAAAAACTTCCTGTGATTAACTCCCAGCAACCCACTGAGGAAGTTATTACCCCTATTGAGACACAGAGGAGCTGTGTATTTGTCTGAGGTCAACAGTTAGTGGGTGGCAGAACCAGGATTTGAACATGGGCTGGCTGAACCCAAAGCCTGTGGTATTAGCTACATACACCCCGCAATGCCACAAGAGCACAACAAGGTTCTATGAGTGGTAAAGCATTGGAAGTATGTTGGAGGGACATTCTTCCCATGAGTACTCAGGGGACCCCCAGAACAGCCCGTGAGTTAAATGGGTGCCCTTTTAACTCTGATGGGTTCAGAGATAACGATGCTAGTGATACCTTGCACTTTTTGGGCATTTACTCCATGCATTATCATATTTATCTTTTCATTTTAGAGAGAGAGTGCACAAGTGGGGGAGAGGGGCAGAGGGAGAGAGAGAGAATCTTAAGCAGGCTCCATGCTTAGCATGGAGCCTGACATGGGGCGCAATCCCATGACCCTGGGATCATGACCTGAGCAGAGTCAGATGCTCAACCGACTGAGCCACCCAGGTACTCCTGTGCATTGTTGTATTTAGTCACCATAGCTTCTTGAGAGAAGAGGTACTATGCTCATTCCCATTTTAAAGATGAGGAAAGTGAGGCTTAGAGAGCTTGTGAAATTTTCCCAAGGTCCCACAGTAGTCAGAGATGAAGCAGTTGCTGGACTGTAAGCTTTTGGAGGTCAAGGACTATCTGTTTAACCTAACATGGCACTAGAGTATATACTCATTAAGTGAATGAATGAATGAATGAATGAATGAGTGAATGAGTGCAGCAATTTATTGACTACTCCCCCTTTAACACTTCCTTCTTAATAGTTATTGACTCTACCCCTTTAGATTAGAGTCAATTTATTGACTACTCCCCCTTTAACACTTCCTTCTTCATAGAGTTATTATAAGGATTAAATTAGATAATAAAACACCGAGCACGATTCTTGGCACCTGGTAACTACCTGCTTCTATGATTATGATTATCTGCTTCCCTATTAAGACCTTTCCCTGTTGCTGTTTTTTTTTTTTTATCCTCCTCCCCAGGCTCAGAAGTGCAGCTCCTTGAGTATGAGGCCTCGGCTGCTGGTCTCATCCAATCCTTCTCTGAGCGCTTCCCAGAGGACGGGCCCGAGTTGGAGGAGACCCTCACCCAACTGGCCACAGCTGATGCCCGGTTCTGGAAGTGCCCCAGTGAGGCCCCATCTGGCCAGGCTTGAGACCGATTTATGCAGCTCCTCCCTCAACTCCATCAAACCACGTGTATGCTAGGGGAGGAGCAGGAGCTCAGACCTTGGTGCTACCTCAGCCGAGGGTGGTGACACTAACCTCTTCCATTTGTCAGCACTTTCCAGTTTACCAAGTGCTTCTCCTGTGTTATCTCATTTGATCTGCACTGCCCTTGGTAGAGTGGGCAAGGCCAGGCTCCTTATTCTGCTTGCCAAGTGAGGGAATGGAAGTTGTGAGAAGTGACCTGTCTAGATCCTGCAGGACTCAAAACCTCTCCCAATCCAGTGCTCTTCATGTATTACTTTTATAACCAGAAAAATAAATATTAGAAACAACCACCATCTTTGTGATCTGTGTGAATCCTTGCGTTTGCCTCACTTCTCACTTGTTCCCAGGAGGGTAACGGGAGCCCTGGGGAAGGGAAGGGAGGTCAGTTTTAGACTCCCCTCTACAATAGGATTTTGATATCACCTCTAGATGGTACAAGACAAACACAAAAAGGAACATAGAGCCATTTTTGCAGTCCTCCTTTGTGGCATTTCCTGTATTTTAAAATATTACAGGAGGGGCGCCTGGGTGGCTCAGTCGGTTAAGCATCTGACTTCAGCTCGGGTCATGATCTTGCCATCCGTGAGTTCGAGCCCCGCGTCGGGCTCTGTGCTGATGGTTCAGTGCCTGGAGCCTGTTTCCGATTCTGTGTCTCCCTCTCTCTCTGACCCTCCCCCCGTTTATGCTCTGTCTCTCTCTCAAAAATAAATAAACGTTAAAAAAATTAAAAATAAAATAAAACATTACAGGAGACTAAAAACTATAGAAACTCTCAACGTCAGTCAATCCTAGGATTTAATCTCTTAACCCCGTGTTTTGTTTCTCCGAGCCCAGACCGCTAGAGCAAGATGGGAAGAAAGGACATAGAACCTTTCCAGCCCGGTTAACCATGAGGATGAAGAGGGTAAGCAGTTACTCTCACTGCTCATAAACACTAGAAGGGCTTCTCTCCAGGCCTTGAGGCCAGAGGGTCCTGTCAATAACCCAGAGATTCCAGGGCCCCCAAATTCAGGCTGGGAAGGAGCAAAGGTAAAACCTACGAGCTGGGATGAGAGACTGCGCCTCAGCAGGCAGAAGCTCAACCGAGTGCAGCGTCTGCCGCACGGTGACCTCCCTGCCCTGGGCCGGAAAGCTGAGTGCCCGGAACCTTTGTACGCGCGCTTCCCCGAGCCCGGGCGTTATTGGGCGTTGCGCGGCGGCTGGCCGAAGCCGGTTGCCAAGGCGACGTCTGCGAAGATGGCTGCTGCGTCTTCGTCTGATTCCGACTGCGGCCGAGCTGAGAGGTGAAGGTCGGGGTCTTCGAGGCCTCCTTTCCTATAAATGTAAAGAGGGGGTCTTGGGTCCTGGGATCTGGGCACCTGCGGTTCTCGGAAGGCACCGGGTGTCCTTGAACGGATTTTAGGGATCAAGTAGGGAAACTGAGGCCCAAGGAGTGAATATGCGTGTGTGTGACTCGGGGTCACTCAGGGAGCCTGTGGTGGAGCCTGGACTTGGACCCAGAGGTTCTGTATCCCCATTTCAGAGCGCCCTACACACTTCACTCTGAGACTAGCCCCCTCAAAGTTTTCTTACTCTCCCTTGGGACTCAGCGCCCGACTCTTTCCCTCCTCTCCCAGCAACGAGGCCAGTTCGAAATGGCTGGACGCACACTACGACCCCGTGGCCAACATCCACACCTTTTCCAGCTGCCTGGGTGAGTCTCTGGGACCAGGAACCCCTGCTTCTGGGTGGGGGGAGTGGGGTGGGGTGGAGGGGTCAAATAATGGTTCTGTAGTGAAGCCTCAAAGCTTCTGAAACCCCGGTTTATGGCCCTTTTGTGTTTTCCAGCGCTGGCAGATTTGCATGGGGATGGGGAGTACAAGGTAAGCATATCCCCTCAGCTGAAAGAGAATTGGGGGGTGGGGAGATATCAGAAATGAGGTTTCCTGATGGCTCCAAAGGAGTTCAGCGTAATCTGGAGCTCCTGTACCCTGAAAAAGTACATTTAGTGTTAAATTTTATTTTTATGTGGACGGTGAAGAGGACTTGTTGATTTCAGAATACAGACTGCAGAAAGCAAAGCAGAACAAAATGCTGCTGGGGATTCTACCAGGACAAAGCCTCTTAATTTTGTTAACTTGACATAATTCCTTGCTGGAAGGGCACATCCGTTGGTTGGGAGTGGGGCGTTGGAATCTGGAGAGCAAGTAGAAGGGAAGGAAGAGAGAGCTTTATGTTTATTAAAAAGGCAAGGGGCATCTGATTGGCTCAGTCGTTGATGTCCGACTGTTGTTTTTGGCTCAGGTAGTGATCCCAGGGTCATGGGATGGAGTCCCACCTAGGGCTCTGCACTGAGTATAGCCTACTTGGGATTCTGTCTCTCTCTTTTTCTGCTCCCTCCACCGCTTGCATGCTCTCCCTCTCTCTAAAATAATAAATAAATAGGGGTGCCTGGGTGGCTCAGTTGGTTAAGCGTCTGACTTCAGCTCAGGTCATGATCTCATAGTTCATGGGTTTGAGCCTCATGTCAGGCTCTGTGCTGACACCTCAGAGCCTAGAGCCTGCTTTGGTTTGGATTCTGTGTCTCCCTCTCTGTCTGCCCCTTCCCTACTCATGCTCTGTCTCTGTCTCTCAAAAATAAGTAAACATTAAAAATTAAAAATAATGATGGGGCGCCTGGGTGGCGCAGTCGGTTAAGCGTCCGACTTCAGCCAGGTCACGATCTCGCGGTCCATGAGTTCGAGCCCCGCATCAGGCTCTGGGCTGATGGCTCAGAGCCTGGAGCCTGTTTCCGATTCTGTGTCTCCCTCTCTCTCTGCCCCTCTCGCGTTCATGCTCTGTCTCTCTCTGTCCCAAAAATAAATAAAAAACGTTGAAAAAAAAAATTAAAAAAAAAAAAATTAAAAATAATGAGCATAGATTTTAAGATTAGCCATGAGTTACTAATTATTGAAACTGGATGGTATTTGGGGGTTCATTATATTAATCTCTCTGCTTTTGTATATGACTGAAAACTTTAAATAATAAAAAGGTTAAATTATAAGTTTAATAAAAACATAAAGATAAATAAAATATAAATAAATAAATTTTAAAATTAAAGGTACAGGTTTTTAAAAGATTGAGAAATATTTGGGGCTTAAAGTGGGTTAACATATATTGAGTGTCCATTTCTGGAGTAGACCCTCTTTGAGCATTTTCACATACATACATACATACATATTTATTCCCAATTTGTTAATGGGAAAATAGATTCAGACTGAATAAGCTTAGTGAGTTTGTAAAAAGTGGCAGACCTGGGTCTGGTTGCATTCCCAGTCATGTGTTTGTTCCACTATGGCTCAACCATGGGCACTGAACCCGCAGTGGGCATGTTATTTGGGCAGTTAGAAGATAGGTCTGGAACCCTACCCTTCACGGAGAGTACAGGAGAATTCGGTGGACATATGCCCCCAATTCCTGTCCTTAAAGCATTCTGCAGTTTGGCAAGTGTGCAGTGAACCTCTACTGTGTGTCAGGCATTATGCAGACACTAAAGTCAGAAATGAATCAGGGGGTGCCTGGGTAGCTCAGTCGGTTCCGCATCTGAGCGGCTCAGGTCATGGTCTCACAGTTTGTGAGTTCAAGCCCCACATTGGGCTCTGTGTTGACAGCTCAGAGCCTGGAGCCTGCTTCAGATTCTGTGTCTCCCTCTCCTTGCCCTTCCCCTGTTCACACTTGGTCTCTCTCTCAAAAATAAATAAAGACTTAAAAAATTAAAAAAAAAAACACTATGCTTAAAAAAAAAGAAATGAATCCGTACACAGTCGGGAAGAGATACAGACACTGCCCTTAATTTATCCATCGATATGGACTGAATACCTAGTGTGTGCTTGGCACTGGATTTACAGCAGTGAAAGGTATAGAAATCACAGCTCCAATAACTAATGTGAAATATTCGATGCTTTTGTGAAATAACTTTTAAGAGCTAGTTTGTTGATTCCCAGAATCTAGCCCAGTGCCTGGCCCAAATTGGGTACTCAGTAAATTTTTATGGAGTAAACAAAAGGATGTTAAAATTGAATATATGGAAAGTATTATGGGAGCAGCAGGGAGAGAATAGTGAAATCTATCTGGAGGCACCAGGAGGCAGTAACATGTGAACTGGGTGTTGAAGGATGAAAGAAATGTATCAAGAAGGTATGGAAGAGGGGAGGGGGGAAGCATTCCAGTCAGAGGGAACAGCACAAGTAGAGGCACAGAGACTTGGAAGTTTATAGCACATTTTGAAAGAGTAAATTTGAAGTTAGAAAGGGAAAGCCAATAAAAGTACTAGTTGGGCACCTGGGTGGTTCATTAGGTTAAGTGTCCAACTCTTGATTTCGGCTAAGGTCAGGATCTCATAGTTTGTGAGTTCAAGCCCCGAGTCGGGCTCAGTGCTGTCTGCTTGGGATCCTTTCTCTTTCCATCTCTCTCTGCCCCTCCCCTGCTCACGCACACTCAAACTCTATAAATAAGTAAGTAAGGAAGTAAAATAGTAGTCAATACCACTGGTTTAGACTCAGACAGACCTAGATTCCAGTCCGAGCTCCGCCACTTGCTTGAGAGTGACTTTTACCTAACATCTCTAAGTCACAGCTTCCCCATCTGTGCAATGGGGCTAATAATAGTACCTATCCCAGGAGTTGTTGAAAGGACTAAATGAATGGATGCATGTAGTGCCTGCTGTGGCTCCTGGCACACTGTACATTCTCAGAATCCAGATGCTCTGTGGCAGCCCCCATCCTGGCTGGAGAATAGCATGGATTGGAAGGTGATGGAAAACAGGTTGGAAACCAGATCAGAGAGGCCTTGAAGGCCTCACTTGGGAGAATGGGCTTGCTTGGCAGACACAGTAGCTTGGAGGATAGTTTGGAGGGTGGAAAAGAGAGACTGGGGAGCTTGGTTCTTCTCTCTGTCCACAGAGCACATCCTGTCTGCATGCATGCTTGTGCTCTCTTCCCACTTGGAAGCCAGGCTTCAGAGGCCCAGATATGAGTTTCCAGCACCTCACTGACTTTAGCCACTGTCCACTGTCTAGAATAGTGCCTGGCATGGAGCAGGCTCTGAAGAAGTGATTCCCAAATGAGTAACGAAAACATCATCTGCCACCTACTCCTCACTAGCCTTCACCGGGTTGCTTAATTCATTACCTCATTTGATTTTCACTACAAGTGTCATGAGATAGATATTCCCATTTTGTGGGTAGGAAAACTGAGGCTCAGGAAGTTTAATCAACTCTCCCAAGACCATATAACTTGCAAGCCTTTTTGCAGAGTCTCCGTGCCCCACACCTTTG